TGTAGGGAAGCAGCTCAAATAGATTTGTTTTCATCTGACAGTGAACTGGGCAAAGATCTTTGGTTTTGTATGTTGCATCTGTAGGTCTGCGATGCTTCCTGACTTTCTTTATTAAATCTACAGTGTTTTAAGTGTTAAACTACTACAGATCCTAAGAGGTTACTTTTTATAGTAGAATTCTGGAAAATTTACTGTACACTAAATACTGTACACTATACATTGCTACCCAAATAACCAGGCATAATAAAATTAACAAACTGGCGGTGGTGGATACAGATGTATTTGCAAGACATCTCTTTCCATTCCAAGGTTTTTATTTCATGATTTGTCTGCAGCATGCTACCCGTGCCATTGGGGATGATAATTTCTGTAGTGTGATGATAAACAAGACTCATTGGCCAAAGAGAGGTTCCCTTGACATTGCTATGGTGAACATACTTCATCACAGTCTTGTTGGTGCTGTCAAATAGCTTGGCTTGTATGAAGCATGAATGATGTGTTGGAAAGATTAATTTTGTCAGGTATACTTATGACAAGGCTAGCTAACATCTCATAAGGGATAGTTTACAGCACTTGCACAAGTAGTCCAATTATTTTGTTTCATAATTAATTACATTTATTCATGGATGAAGCTGTGGTTTCTGTCTGGAACCAGAAAGTTAATCTCTGATAGCTATTGTGAAAACCAAAATTACTCTTCTAGAACCACCATCATTACCTGTGAAGAAGGTAATCTTAAGTCTTTAGAATCCTGACGATATTGTGAACGCATGTGTGTTTATAATATACGTGACCAAAGAGTTCTTGGGTTTTCTTTTAAGTTAAACCTCAGAGTGCTACACTTTACAGTGCATGTGTTTTGCAGTGCTTTCAGAACAAGAATAGGAGGACAGAGTTGAGTCCAGTGACTGAATTCTCTTTGTGTGTGTTTGTTAACTGAAAGGACAGGTATTTTTGTGTTATGGAAAAAGACTTTTGATTTTACTAGTCAAGACTATTCATCTGGAATTTGGTAGAATTGGATTTTGCTGATGGGT